AAGGCTCCGGGTTTAACCCCTTCCAGGGCTGCAGAGGAATGCAACGTGTCCTCCATCCGGTCCCCTCCAGGAGGAGCTTCAGCCGGGCCGCCCTCCCGCCATGCCCCCCTGCATCTCCCCCTCTGCCGCCCGGTGCAGAGAGTTCGCCACGGGAGCTCTACGCTTCCCAGATGTGGCGCTGTGATCGCGCCCGGAAAATCTGCCTATCTTCCATCTCAGTAGCGTGGCTACTGCTCCGTGTGACCGCAGCCCTAATGAGGAAGGGATTTACTGGGAGATTAAACGAACAAGCATAGGAGCCACATCCTGTCTGATTAGCTGCTCTAACCTACATCTAACAACAAAAAGCAATGAAACCAGGGGTCGTTTCATAGAAAAAGAGCTAGGGGAACTCATTAGCATAACTCATTAGCCCCCTGCACCTCCCCCTCTGCCGCCAGGTGCAGAGAGTTCCTCTCAAGCAGGCCGAGCCAGGAGTGGGGGGGGGTACGGAAAGAGGAGGGGGCTGTGTTGTTTGTTTTTAAACAAAGTGTGCGCATGCGCCGTTGGGTGCTTGTGCGCATCCCGTGGACACTTGGGGAAAAAAACCCTTTTAGCGATGGGACATGGGCGGGCGCCGGATGCCACGACCAACCACCGGAAACGCGATCAGGCGCCCGTCCTTGCCCCGTAGTTTCCGGAAACTAGTACCTCGGAGGTACTAGTTTTTTACCCCGCATCTTCGGCAGGAAGCCTTGGGTTCGCCACGGGAGCTCTACGCTTCCCATATGTGGCGCTGTGATCGCGCCCGGAAAATCCACCTATCTTCCGTCTCTGTAGCGTGGCTACTGCTCCGTGTGACCGCAGCCAGAGTTAGACATTCGGTGTGGAGTTAAGGCATTTTTTTAAACCAAAATTCCATGAACATTTATACTGCAATAAATTATGTCCTTGATTTGCTGCAAGATTTTTTATTTGGAGGGAGGGGTTGGAGCAGACAAACATGGCCACCTCTCTGGAATTTGTCACTTAAGCTTTTTGATCTCAGTGGGGTTAGGTGTGTCCTGGTGCACAGAGTTGCCAAACTCTAGGT